ATACCATTGACATAGAAGTGCCTTTATTCATATTCAACATGAAAAAATCTTTTAAGTGATCTTTAAGTTTCTGTACATTAGTTTCATATTTTAATAAATTCTCATTTAATCTCCAAGTCCTTTTACTTCCACCATCAATTAAGAATTCCATCCATACAGGACTATGATCTGATAAAGTCCTAGGAAAAATCTTCACTTTTTTAACCTTAGGGATTAAGTCACTGGTAATCAAAATAAAATCAATTCTAGAATGAGATTGATGTCTGTCTGAGAAAAAAGTAAAATCACTTTCTCCTGTATTCCAATCTCGCCATATGTCTTTTAACTCCAAATCCTCTTGCAATGCAAAGAAACTCTTAGGCAGTCTAGTTTGAGTTGAAGCTTTAGAAAAAGTCTTTTAATCTCTTTTAGGGTCTATTACACCATTCCAATCTCCCATCATAATAACAGATTTATAATCCAATTGTATTATCTTTTGATGTAGAAGACTGTAGAATTGTTTCTGCTGTTGATATTGGTTGGGAGTGTATATGCCAGCAACCAAACACTTTTTCCCATTCAATAAAAGTTCAATAAGCACAAATCTTCCTTCTGTATCTAAATCTATTAACTAAATCTATTCTTTCTTAACATAAAAAACTGTAGCTGCTTTTTTCTTTGGTGCAGGAGTTTACCAGATATTTTTGATCTTTTGATGCAATATGCGTTTCTTGTAAACATATGATATCATTTTTGTATTGTTTCAAATAATGAAATATTTTCTTCCTTTTTTGTGGTGAATTCAATCCATTAACATTTAAAGTCATTAACTTAACCATCTTTCGGCTTGGAGCTTCTGGAGCATTCCTTGCAGGTCTGTCATGACAGATCTTTTGGATCTGGCCCCTCCCACTGGCTCTGAGGTAAACAAGTATGTTTGAGGCACAGATTCTTTTTGTTGTTCTCTTTCCCTTCGTTTATGCGCTGCACATGTCATTCTCTGCTCTTTTGAGTCAGCCTTTACCTCCATCAATTGTTGACTCTGAGAATCTGTTGCAGACAACGATGTAGCTCCAGGCAGTTCTACAATCAATTGTTCCACTTCTTCCATTCTTTTAGTTGGTGACATAGGAGATGAATCCGCTTTCAGAACCGTTAAATAAAAATCTTTGGCCTTCTGAACTGTATCAAGTTTATAACGATTCCCAGCATAATTCAAAACCAGTCCAACAGGTATCTCCCATCTAAAAGGTAGTTGTCTCTTCTTTAACTCCTGAGCCAAAAAGGCAAATTCCTTTCTTTTTCTTAGAATTTTTGAAGGTATTTCTTTCAAAATTATAACATCTTGAGCAGCAATCTGAAATCTCTGCTGGTAAAAAGCTTGTATAATATCATTTCAACGTGTTTTTTTGGAGAAGTAAACAACCACATCTCTAGGCAAATTTCTCTGACGTGCCACCCATGAGTTTACTCTATATGTTTTTTTGATTTCTCCATATATAATTTCAGTATCGGAGTCAAAAACCAGGGCTAGAGCAGCTGCTACCTCCTCCCTCAATTTCTCTTGTAAATTCTCCTTAAGGCCTCTAATCCTTATGGCATACTCCATTTCTCTATATTGTGACATTACAATATCATTTTGAACAATCTCCACACCTTCTTCTATTTTCTCTAATCTCCATACCCTCCATTTTCTCCACCACTTCATCCACATGTCCCTCTATACGATCCACATGAAACGCAAAACCTTGAAAAATTTGGGACATGTTTTCACACAATTCATCATTTTTCTTGCCAAGAAGTTCTTCTGTTTCAGCTCTCATCTGTTGTACTATCTGTTTAGAAATTTGTACCAGAGAGTCCTGTAAATCTTTAAGAGTAATGTAAGGAGGAGGGGAGGGTGGGGGAGTTTTAGCTTTCTGCTGTGTAGATTGTACAGCTGGAGAAGGAGTAGCTGCTTTGGGTGCAGCAGAAGTTCCAGTACGTTTAGAAGCCATTCTTAATTTTAAAAGAGTCTTAATAGTCAATCCAGAACAATAAGTATTTAAACAAATTTTTCTTGAATTTTTTCCTTTTTTTTCCAAAGTCTTTACAGTCTTTACAATGTAGCAATCCACAACCGGAAGAGAAGTGAAAGTTTCCCTTTGAAACAAAGAAGCGGCTCGCCCGCAGCCATTTTTTTTTCTTTTCCAAAGTTAACTTTAAATTGTAACAATTGAGAAGAAGCCTTATTCTTTCTGAGTTAAAGTTATATTTTTTTCCAAACAAGTCCAAGTTCCTGGTCAGCTCTGTCAGTTGATTTACTCACAGTTAAAAAATTTTAAAGTTTCAGAGGTGGAGACGACGTCTGGCTTCGCTGCAAAGACGAAGACATCCAGGTCTGCGGAGGAAGCTCTGAGCTCCGGAGGAGTTCTCACCTACATCTCTCTGGAAGCTCCTAGGGAGACTAGGGAACTCTACTCCTACTCAGAGTAAAGCTCACCTTCTCTCCTTCTCCCGGAGAGAAAGCTCAAGCCGCCAAACAGCTGATAGATGCTGTTTCGGCAGCTTTAACGCAGCCCCGGATGGGAGGCTGTCAAAAAGCCTCCATCGGCCGTCGCTGAGCCACCGGAAGTCCCATTTTCTGACAAATTATTACAGCTCCCCGTCTTCTTCAGGCTCTTCCCCCCCCCCACCTATGCAAAGTAGGCAGGGGACGCCTGCCTGTTTATCCCGGCCCTGGCAATCTTGCTCACTCCTTTCTGTGAGTTGGGAAGGAGTCTGTGATTCACACACACGCACACACACGCGCGTGCACACACACACACACCCTCACCCACAAAGCACAAGGTCTCAAACACCTACCTGCGAGTGGATAGATCTGTTCCCTTCAGGCTTGCACTTACTTCTGAAGTAAGAAGAGGGGGGAAGGGCGACACGGATCCTGCATAAGGAGTCCCTGGGGAGGGTGGGGCCTCGCTCTGTGCCTGCGTGCCCTCAGTAGGGTTCCTGCAGGCCATCGCCAAGCAGCTTGTTTTCAATTTCAACAAGCAAGTGAGCTGTGAAGGAGAGGGGGAGGAAGGCGATGCCCGGGGGGGCGACGGGGGGGGAGGAAGGCGACACCGCGTACCACCAGCCAGGTGGTCGCGTACCACTAGTGGTACATGTACCACCGGTTGAAAAGCCCTGGTTTAGGCCGTTAGGTCTTTGCACCTTTTCTTCCGTAGCAAGAGATAAGCCAGATAGTCAGAGGCACATTCCTTTCTCACCCCAGGCTGGCATCAAGGGAGATGGTTCAAAGAGCAAGCATATAGAGAGAAGCAAAGAAGATACAGTGTAGCAGCTATAGCAAATTAAAGAGGATACATTGTAACACCCATGACTTCCCCCCTTCCCCTTAGGAGTATGGCAGAACCTGCTGGAAGAAAAGAGAAGAAAAGAGAAGGAAATTACCCCCCCCCTTAAACTGGGTTCTGACATATATTATATTTTGAAGGGAATTTGGAAGTTGTTAACTTTCCCATAAGACAGTGATGGCAAACCTTTTAGAGACCGAGTGCCCAAACTGCAACCCAAAACCCACTTATGCATCGTCGGGTGCCAGGTGGGTGTGGCCCATTGGCTGGGTGTGGCCCATTGGCTGGGTGTGGCAATTGGGTGGGTGTGGCCCATTGGGTGGTCGTGGCTGCGGTGGTAACGGCAGACTGGGTGGGACTAAAAAGTTCAATCAATCAATTCCAACTTTGCAAGATCTTTTTTTTTTCCCCGAGGTTGAAATTGACTGATTGATTGAACCTTTTTTTTTTTTTTTTGGCACACGGTGACGGAGGCCTAAAGCGAAAAGGTTTTATAAAACCCAGCTAAAGGCCTAGGACTGGGACGACGGCTCGCGTGCCCAGAGAGAGGGCTCTGCGTGCCGCCTCTGGCACCCGTGCCATAGGTTCGCCACCACTGCCATAAGAGTTTCGGTTAACTGAAAAACAGATAGCAGGACTGAAACCATTTTCCCAAAATGCTTAAGACAATTTATCTGATTAAGTTACAAAAACTACCTATAAGTTTATACCACTTTTTGAAATTCCATCCTCCCCCCCTCCCTGCTTCACTTATATCAGGAGTCCCCAACCCCCGGTCCGTGCACCAGTACCAGGTCATGGCATGCCAGCAACCAGTCTGCACAAATAAGCAAAGCCCTATCTGCAGGATACAGGCAGTACACAAAACTACGCACACTCTGGTCTGCGAAAAACCTCTTTTTGTGGAACCGGTCCCTGGTGCCCAAAAGGTTGGGGACCTCTGACTTATATCTTATGGGAGCCTTTTACATAACTAATCAGTAGAAAAATTACTGTTGATTGACCAGATGCTTAACCGTTCAAAGAAGCAAAGGACCTGCTCCTTTGAATTCTTCAACAGCTTCAGGTTCACCTTCTTGTTTCAGGTCTAATGAATGCACACTTTGTAAAACAATTAATGCTTTTGATTTAAAATACAGGTCTGTGTAATTCAGCTGACAGCTGGATGATTGTTCCAAATATCAAACAAAACCATTACACAGTGCATGGCCTGCAGAGTGGCACCAAGTACATCTTTATTGTTAAGGCCATTAATCAGGCTGGCAGCTGCAATAGTGAACCTGGAAAGCTGAAAACAAACAGTGAGTAGTTTTACATCTAATCTAAACCTTTTCCTCTCTTCTTGATTTGACTCAGTTAGACACTTGAAAAGTACAGAGATAGTGTGTAGCTCTCTCTTCCATTTTAGTGCTTTCCTGTACAATTCTTATTCCATTCAGCAAAAATGTATACTAAAGTCTTTGAGCCATACACTATTAACATACATGGAAGCACCTAAATTCTGAGGCACTATGAACAATTTAGGGAAGGATACAAAAGGGAGTACTATTTACTTTTGCTTTCTAAAAGTTTCCATTCCAACCTAACTTCTATTTATTTTTATATACTGCTTATCTAAGCACATTCAAGGTTTAAACTTACAAAGGTCAAAATAGCAATTGCTGAGAAAAAAGGCAATTGCAAAACATAGCAGGACTATTGAATAAATTAAAATAGTTTGGGGGGTGGGAGGGGACTTATGGGAAAATAATCATACTAGGGATTTCATCTACAGAAATTAAATATCTTTTTCATGTATGCTGAAACAGGCTTTATTTTAAAACTGTTATTTTGTTCATATTCCAGGTCAGCCATTCAAACTGGATCCCAAGTCTGCTCATAGAAAGCTAAAAGTATCTCACGATAACTTAACTGTGGAGCGCGATGAAACTTCTTCTAAGAAGAGCCACACCCCTGAGCGTTTTACTAGTCAAGGCAGCTATGGGGTAGCTGGCAATGTGTGTATTGACAATGGACGTCATTACTGGGAGGTGGTTATCAGTGGAAGTACATGGTAGGTGGGTCAACCCATACAAGAACACATACTTTCCCTAAATTAGTAATAACACTTCAGATTTGTTCACTTTAACTGATGCAAAGAAATTGACAAAATGTTATAATGCAGGGGATGTTGTTCTTGTTAGTTTTGCAATAGTAAAAAAAAAAGTTTATAATAAAGGTGGCAGCAGGTCAGATTACACTAATAGCTTTGTAGCTTAAATCAGACTGGATGAGACCAGTTTTACAATGTTACTAGAACCAGGACTGGAATCATAGTTTTTAGGCAGAGATATTACCAGATTGGGATTCATAGCCTTTTATAAATCCATTCTATTCCAGAAACCATATCAGTATTTAGGAGAATGAAGAACTAAATCAGAAAACAGATACTCTACTAGTAATTTTTCTGCACTAATAGTTCAGAATAGGGAGGCGCAATGGCTCAGAAGTTAAAGATGCTGAGCTTGTCAATTGGAAAGCTGACAGTCCGGGTTTGAGATCCAAGCACCATACAATGGGTGAGTTCCAGTTACTTGCCCCAGTTACTGCCAATCTAGCAGTTTGAAAGCAAGCAAATGTAAGTAAATAAATGGGTACCACTTCGGTGGGAAGGTAACAGTGTTCCATGCACCTCTGCATATAGCCAGGCTGGCCACATGACCACGAAAGTGTCTTCAGATAATGCTAGCTCCCTTGGCTAAGAAATGGAGATGAGCACTGCCCACTAGAGTTGGATATGATTGGATAGGGGAAACCTTTACCTTTAATAATTCAGAGCAATTGTTTTAACCTATGTAAGCTAGGCCTTGTTCATTTTGACTGTTACAAGTTCATTACATGGCTGTTTTTATACTGGAGAAAATTGGGACAATAAGATTTGCATGACTTGCCTCTCATAGTATAAGAAAGAATATTAACTAAATATGTACTTCTTTTGAACTGCAAAAGACATTTTAAAGGACATATGGCTTCAGAAATATAGCAAATACATGACATGAAGTTTCTTAATTTTCTTAATTTTGTTTTTGTAGGTATGCCATTGGTATTTCTTATAAGTCTGTACCAAAACATGAGTGGATTGGAAAGAATTCTGCTTCTTGGGTTCTTTGTCGTTGCAATAATACATGGGTGGTGAGACATAATAGCAAAGAAATTCCAATAGACCCTGCACCCCATCTTCGCCGTGTTGGCATTTTGCTAGACTATGACAATGGTTCGTTGGCCTTTTATGATGCCTTGAATTCACTACATCTTTACACTTTTGATATTACATTTTCACAGCCTGTATGCCCAACATTCACAGTCTGGAATAAATGTTTGACAATAATAACAGGCCTTCCAATCCCGGATCATTTAGATTTTATTGAGCAGATGCCATGATCAATACTGAATGAAGATGGATGATGAATGTCATGTGGACCTCACATATACTTTTATGGAACTTTGACTGGAAAAGAGAAATACATTTCATACAAAAAAGAAGTCTTTATCGTTTTAAACAAAAAAGAAGTCAGCCAACAGTCAAAACAGGAAGATCTCCTTGGACATTACTATTTGTTTTGTATTAAAAGCAAGATATGGCTTTAATCATTTTTCAGATTGTTTTTGTATCTAGTCTCCTTCAGAAAATTTATACATTATTTATATTTTAAAAAACCCTTCTAATAGGAACCCCCAATTGGTATTTGCATCTGAGCATAACAAAGACTTCTTTTTGCACATAAAGAGCTGTGTCACAAATGTTCCTACTAGATGTCTCCAATATTTCTATTTTATAATAGAAAGAGTTATAAAGTCAGTGTCTGAATCAACCAGCAACCAATATTATTGATAACAATTTTCTTAAATACTAATTATTCACCTCTGCCACAGTTAGGAATATGTATTTTTTATTTTTATTTTTGGACTCAGAAAATCATCAACTAGAATGAAACAACTAAAATAGATCTAACATTATGTCTTAGATAAAAGTACCACTAAGGTCAAAAGATGATCAATTTCTGGTAGTATTGATCTGGATACATACCATTGAAAAGGTACACAAAGTAGCCACATATGCAGTGCTAGGGATAGGCAATGTACAACTGATTTTAAGTATGAGATTTTGTTATGTTATAGTATATCAATAAAAATAGTAAAATGTATCTTTGTAAGCAGTACCAGAAAGAGCTGAACTTCACTGTATCATTCTGTGGAATCTTTGAAGGGATCCAGGGTTTCAATTTTCTTCTTAATTTGTTTCTTTTAAGGAACAAGGCCTATAGGGTCAAGTTTTTGAGGTCGTAAATTTTTTTCAGCAAGATTTCCAAATGAAAATACTTAATTGTAAGATCTGCACACAAAGACTGAAAATACTTTTATTTTTAGAAGATACATTATTAAATCAATGTATTCTGCTGAAAAGACATTTTTTTACCTGATAGGAAGACCAAAATGATTATAGAAAGTATGAGGTTTTAATATACTCAGTCAAGCATTAAATAATGTTTCTAGCCTAGATTAAACAAATAAACAAAATTGATCAACAGTTTCTGGTCTTGCCTCTTTGAGGTTCTTTGTGGTAAACGGCTGAACCCTTCACTCGCTTTTTGTTCTTTATCTAAAAAACTACTTTAATAGACTTTTAATCACATTATCTGCACAAAAATGTTCATAAGAATAATTTGCCAAGCTAAATTTCAGGAGGGGGGGAATAGTTAAAATCTGACATCATGGCAGCCAACCAATGGCTAAGGAATTCAGTCCCTTCTTCTATCTCCTTGCGAATATTTATCTGTGTATCATGCTGTCATAATGTGTACGTTAACATTTCTCCCTTCCCTTCCCTTTCTATAGTGTTTTTCAATCTTGGCAGTTTTAATTCCTCAGCCAGCATGTACACTTCTGAAAGTTGCCAAGGTGGGAAAACACTGCTGTAGCTCACCTGCTTGCCAAGAAAAAGAACCACTATACTTTCTAGCAAAACAGTAAACCCCCTAATATTTGTTAGAACTGTTAAGAGCTAAGAACTACAAACTCTTTCCTCCTTATCTTACCTCCAAGCCCTTTTGATTTTATTGTTTTCAGTTTAAGAATATTTATTTTGTTTTATCATAAAAAATAAAAAACAAAACAGAAAAACAAAACAAAAACATGTCTGTGCTGCCCTGTTCACTAACACACACACATAACTGGTCAGTAAGTTTATTAATACTGCCCAGCAATTCCCTTTACCATAAACCTTGAACTGTCCTAATCAAGTCCAGCCATGAGCAAACCAAGGCCATTGGACTACAATGGCCCAATACTCCACTAGGCACTTGAAAGTTGCTCAAAAAGAACTTCCAGTTTTTGCGCCATGGCGCATGGCCACGGGATTGCAAAGCTCTGAATCCCATGGCTGTTTTCATCCTGCCAGGGGACCCTAAATGGGTCTGAAGTCACCCTGGAGAGGCAGCAAAGGAAGAGGGGCACCCCATTGATCACGGAATGGTGGCAGTCGTTCCGTTTCGATCCAGGGGAAGCCCTCTGACCCGACAGGAGAAAGGCTAGCCGCATGCCAGCATCTAGCTCAAGCTACCTGCAGCTGAAGTCCAAGAGCACTAGCCAGAACAATGGTGAACAGCGTGCTTGGAATTGGTGAGAGTATTTGATCTTGTCTCCTTTATTTTGCAACTAAGTCCCTGGGAAAGATCCCAAAAGCAAGAAAACCTCCAAAAGTGAGGGGAGGGGACTACATTCCCATTCCCCCGTAGATGGAAGCGGCGAACAAACAAATCAGATAACAGAAGATAAACTAGAAAAAAATGACTTAATTGGCAGAGCTACAAATGAAGAGAATTATAACTTAATACAAACAAGAAAAAACTTACAAGATTTGGATATAAAAATAAATATGGAAAAGATACCTTATGCATTAGAATGTCAAAATAAGCCTGAGAAGAAAGAAGACTTAACAAAATGGATACTATTAGGAGAATCACTGTTTGGGAGACAAAAAGCATACATCTTACGCAGTATGTATCCTCTACTACCAACAACAACTACAAAAATACAAGAACTGTTTGGCAAGTTGAAAATATTAATTTGGAAAACTATTTGGCAAAGGAAGAAGATTAGAGATGGGCTTAAGAGACTTGACTTGCCCTACCAGATGGAATGTTATACGAGCAAACACTTGTTTGAATATGGCTAAATAAACAAATAACTTTGGCTATAAAGGGGCTTTAGAATAAGTGGGATAAGAGATTTAAGTAATATAGCATTTTTGATAAGAGAAAATGTAAAAATACTGGGATGATGTAAGTGAATGAAAAGTTTGAATTTTAAAGTTAAATTAAGTTTGAAAAGATTTAGGATTAAGGAATGGTTGAAATATTGAAGGTAAATTAGGCTTAATAAGAACTTTGATAAAAAGGATATGTAGTGATTTTTTACAAATAGAAGTGAAATATAAATTGATTAGAAAAGATTTTATAGATAGATGTTATGATAGATAAGTAGTATAGTATTTCTATAATAAATGAAATATGAAAATACTGGGATGGTATTTAAATGAAAAATTTGGATATTTAGATGTTAATTACTGAGAAAATTATGATTGATAAGAATTGTTTGAATATTAAGGAGAAACTGAACTTAAACAAGATTTATGAAAATAAGAAAATAATGATGATTTTTACAAAAATAACATAAGTTGATAAAAATGCTATATATGGACGCTATTATTGTTGGTAGAAATATAGAAGAAAATGCTTATATTTAATCATTTATATATGGAAAATATCAAATATCAAAAATTATATTTGTTTAATGTTGAAGAAGGAGAATACTACTGGGAGAAGAGAAGATTAAGGAAAATATTATTAATTGATATACAAATTATGAAAATATAAAAATTATTATTGACTGTTAATTAACTATTATTGATTTTATATTTTTCCCCAAAAATTTATGAACCAAGACAACACACTGTATACCAGGCACTAAGGTTGTTATTGTAAAAAATCAATAAAATTTGTATTAAAAAAAAAAGTTGCTCAAACAAAATAATTTCACCAAACCTAAATCCACCAGGCAAGACACAAGAGAGCTCACAGGGCAAGAAAAGTTCAGAGTCTCCAAGGCACGATTCAATTCCAAACATGGTGTCAATCCAGAATGAAGCAGGAATCAGAACAACCAAACACACAGCTAAAAAACAAACTCATTGTTCCCAGCAATGGCTCCATCTGTCTGCTGTGATAAATAGCCAGCTTCTAGTGCAGCCCATCTCGAGTAGTCTGGCTGATCTTCCCTGCTCCTGCCTTTTCTCTGCCCTACAAGTTCTCAGATCAGGTGCAGAAGACCATTCCTCCTGCTCTTCGCTGGCCATCTGCCACTGTAAACTTTCCCCAGCTGGAACCTCAGCCAACTCCCCTCCAGCCGGCTGTTCAGAGCCATCAATCAACTTAGTTCCTCACATGCCAGGAATTGGCTCATCCTCCCCTGAGCTGACATCTGAGGAGGTATCTGAGGAATCATTCAAAGGAGACATTGCAACATCCAGTGCTAACAAAAAAGACCAAAAAAATGGTGTACAAAAGAAAAAAAAGTGATCCATAAATAAATTTAACATTTAACATATAGAATCCATCTCAGCTGGATGCTGAACAAAGAAAAAACAGTAAATTCTCCTCCCCTTTTACAAATATAGATATACAAAATAAAAAAGAGCAGTCAACAGGTTTAGCTAAACATTACACTAATCTGCAAATCCCTCTGTTAACCATCTGTTATTGTATTTGTGTTTGAAAGTCCACAGTTTCCAATCTCTTATAAAGCTGTCTAGTCCATTATCTGATCAAATCAGTTAATTTTGGCATCTCTGCTAATTCAGTCGATTTGAAAATCCATTCTTCAACAGTTGGCATCTCTTTTTCTTTCCAGTGCTTAGCAGGTACAATCCTCACAGCCGTCACCATGTGAAAGAATAGCACCCCAAATTGTTTTTCAATTGACTTATCCATAATACCTAAAAGAAAAGCTTCATGTTTCATTAATATCTGTATCTTAAATATTTTCTGCATTGTTATATTTGTCTTTTGTGTAAAATGTTGTTGATCAGAGGTGGGACCATGGCTGGTTCAGAAATTTTGACAGTTGAAGTCCACAAGTCATAAAAGGGTCATAGTTTCCCACCCCTGTTGTAGATGGTTAGTTTGAAGAGGCTGATTCATTAGGGTTCAGTAAGTCCCCAATAAACAGTTTTCAAGTAAAGGGGCAGGAAAGAATAGCATGGGATGTTTTAGGCCCATGTTTTATGGGCTTCTCACTGTTCAAGGGTTACCTACCTGAAAGTATTGTGTAAAAAGATGCAATACACTTGGGTAGTCTGGGGGGTTTTTTTCTGCATAATCTGCATTGTCTCCTATTTAAAAGTGAATTATTTTAGAAATTTAATCATTTCTCCATATTTACAGCTTCTCAGAAGAATTTAAGCATTGAGGAATGAAATTGCTAAGTGTAATTCTTCATTAAAACTGAGCCACTTTTCAGAATACTGTAGATCATTAGGTTGGCACATGTTTCATCAGCTAGCCTGTAGCATTTACGTAGTGTGACTTTCAAGCTCCAACTAGCAGTGCACAGAACTATTATCTTCTTTGTGAGTCAAACACACAAAACTCCTTTTTAAGCAACAAGTTGGTTAAAGTTTACCAAAGTTTCTCAACTGTCATTTCTTCAATAAGGGGTAGAGGAGATGACTGCATATTTATTCATCTTACCAAATACTTGAGAAAGAATTATTTTTAATATGCTTAGAGAATGACTTTCAGTTCTTTGTTCTTGTCATATAAATGACAGTGCTATTAATAAATATGCCTTGGAAAAGAGATATCACTTTGTGAGGGAGCAAAGTGCACTGGAGGCCTATGAAAGATAGCTTATAATTATGTGCCAAGTGAAAACTTATATCTTCTTAGTACCTTGATATCTCTTCTGCCCTCTGTTCCTCCTTGTCATTAACTAATCATCACTGGTGAATCCCTCTGTTGCTTTCTCCCCTAAATTCCTAAACCAATGTTTGAGAGCCAGTTTGAAATCCTAAACTAAACAAATCTAGTAGGATAATGCATACACATTCCTCCAGGGCTTGAGTTACATATCACTTATTTAAAGGGTCCTACTTCAAAGCCATTAGTCTTCATTAATCTGCACTGTGAACAGGGATTAAACACAAGCTACTAATCTTGATCAATGTCATTCCAAAGAAGTCAACAGTTCAATTGAAGCAAACTCCATTCCCAACAAGAAAATTAACATTCATCTTTTAATACTGGCTGGCTGGTACTGGTTAATTTGCTGGTTTTTGTTTTCTTTATTGTTTAAAGCAGCGGTTCTCAACCTATGGGTCGCGACCCCATTTGGGGTCGATCGACCATTTCATGGGGGTCGCCAAGCAAGGCTGTCTGCCATTTTTTCCCCTTTTCCGGCGGGTGCCTTACCTCCCTTGAGCTGGGCCAGCTGGTGGTCGGCCTGCTCCATCTCTGCCGCTTGCCAGCTACGCCTCGGCCGGCGCAGGGGGTGGAACCACGTATGCGCGGCACTCCTGGGCAGGGAAAGTCCTCGACTTACGACTGGTTTAGTCCTCGACTTACAACCAGTTTAGTCCTCGACTTACGACTGGTTTAGTCCTTGACTTACGACCGGTTGGGGGTCGCGGCATTAAAAAGGTTGAGAACCACTGGTTTAAAGACACAAGTTAGAGCTATTTGGGAAACGTATTGATAAGCAGCTCTAAAAATTTAGTAAGGAAGCCATGCTGACCTGCAAATTGTTATCTCAAATGACAACTATT